ACACACACACACACACACACACACCTGGGTAAAGGTTGTTCATTCCTCACTCGGCGACCGCGGAGTGTAATGACTCTCGAGTCGACGCAAAAGTAATTCTGACATGAACAGAGCGTCCAAAACAGCACACTCACCTGGATAAAGGTCGTCGGAATCCGTACTTGGCGACCGCGGAAAGCGAAACATCTCCGCCGCGCTGCTTCTCGCGGATTGCAACAGCGCCGGGATGCAGTAGGGCGCGCCGGGCTGAGGCGCGCCGGTGAACGACAGCCGCGACGATCCAATTCCCACAGGCAGCGGCATTCCTTGCGGGCCCGTGAGAATCCCTCCGCCCACATTCTGCTTCGTCTCGAAACTCGAGCCCATGGGGGTCCCTTGGCCCGACTCCAGCGCCGCGGACCGCGGGGGAAACGCGGAGGAGCTTCCGCCGCACGGGTTCTGCGCGGCACGGAAGCACGCGGCGGGAATTCTCGCTGGACTCGAGCCGCACGAGGCCGTCGGAGGCGCGAGCGCTTCGAGCTGGCGCCGCGGCGAATGAGAGCCTGTGCGCGGTACGGTACCGAAGGCGGCGGCGTTGTGATGCCGTGAGATTGGCGACTGCTGAAACGGAGCGAACCCCGTCCGCTGTTGGGCGAAGCCTGCTAATACGGGGTTTTGAGACGTCTCAACGCTCGCCGTAGTAGCCTCGAGCGGCTGAAACGGCGCGAAACTCATGTGCTGCTGAGCGAGGCCCACGGGACCCTGGGCGCGCGTCGGCATGATGACTGTGAGCTGGAGGAGCCGTGACGTGACGCGCGTCAACGGACTGGGTAAGAGATTGATTCTAAGCTCGACGTTAACTTGACGATATGTTGAGTTCCCTAGCTTTGACGGTAATATGACGCTTGACGTTAGCCTCCCGATACGCTAGCCTGACGTTGCTGACGGTATCGACAGAAGCTACTGGGAGCATTGCGGCCTCACTACGACAAGCAATGGTCAGTCATGCGTGTTGAAGTTAGAAGAAGACATCGTGACTGGCATTTGAGACTTCAACTTGGAGACCGCGACTGCACTAGTTATGCGTGGTGCTACCGTACCGTGTGTGGGCTAACGTGAGTGGCAGTAGGTGTAGTGGTGCCTCTTTCAAGAAAGAGTCCTTTCGGCCTAACGCGACAACGTAGCAGCAGCAATCGGCAAATCTCTCGCTCCCTCCCCCCTCCTATGGCTCGACTTTCACGCCTTGCTTGGTTTGCTGTCCTTGTGCCTACCACAGTTTCAAGACTGAGCTAATAAAAAAACTGTTCATCCTGCCAATTCATCTGTGGTTGTGAGAAGAAATATGCAGCGCATGATGTCTCTCTAAACCCTGTCCAACCGATCTGTATAAGCATTTTAGTGCTCTAAAACGTGAGGAACCTGAGTGAGCCGTATCAGCACGTCCTCACCTGAAGCAGGTGCCAGACATGTGTTTTCTGGCTGAACGAGATTTTCGTACGATTTCCCCCCAGACGCGACTCGATGTAGAAGATTGCGGCTCCATTATGAGCAGCGGTGTGTCCATGTGCTTCGGCAACTGGGATGTACGTTTCACGAATTCTATTTTTTATGTCAACGATCGAGCTTTTTTCACATGCCATATCCATCCATCCAGTTTATTGGCTAGTTTACTGTAGCCCAGTTATTTGAACGAGGGGGCCGAACTGTAGCTCCATCAAAAAAAAAAAATGCGCAGCACTTGGACGCGCCAGTGAAGATCTGACAGGCAAAGCAATTTTGCTGCTGGGATTGCGAAGTCAGGCCTCCTCACTTACTGACCGAGTCAGCTGGACTGGAATCAAGCTGTTGCTGGTTCTCAGGAGGACCAGGTTCCGTCCTCGTTATTCTTTACCCACAACACGTGATTGGAGGTGCTATCGTGTCGTAAGAGGTTACTTGAAGTGGATAGCGCATCAGAACGACATCAAGCTAAGAAGAGACGTTCAGGTGGCAAATAAACAGCATCCAGCACTAGGAAATGTGTTTTACTTGCCTAAACTCTAAATTAGTGAGTGGGAATAACTCATTAACTTTGCATATTTGCGGTCCGGACAACTTTAGCTTTCGGAATACACGCACTAAAAAGGTCATGAAACATTCTGTAAAGTAAGCGGTGAAATGACTAGCTGAGCACAACAGAGAAAACATACTGATTTTGGGATACGAGATTCACAACTTCAATCTGAACTTTCTTAAGAGCCATCACACATGCTAGAGCATGCTTGATTGATATGTGAGGTAGCTCGGTTGGGGGCAGCACTCCTCCTTCATAGACTGGCCACACACTGGAGGCAGCCACATGCCCAGGACCTAGGATGGTTGACGCGATCATGCACATGGCTTCGGCACATGCTAGCGGGGTATGGGGGTCTCGTGCATGCACCTCAGGAATGTCACACTTCCACATTTTGTATACACTTTGCTATTTCTCTCTTGTTTCTTGTTCTTTGTTTGTGTGTGTGTGTGTGTGTGTGTGTGTGTGTGTGTGTGTGTGTGTGTGTGTGTGTGTGTGTGTGTGTGTGTTTTTTTTTTCTGGAGGGTGGGGCATAAGGGGGTGACTTCAAGCAGGGATGCGGTCTTCAAGGTATGCCAGAAGCACTTTGGTGCCACCGTTTATGATGCTCCACCTGATACTGCTTGTTGTACAGGAGGCACATGTGAGATTGCAGAGAGAGAGAGAGAGAGAGGGCATGGAATGGCATGGGAAGGACAGAGAGGGGGTTTGGAACAGAGGGCAAGATGGCAAGATGAGGTAAACCTGCAGGGTCTTTTACATACACAATTAGAGGGAGCAGAGGGGGTATGGAACAATGGGAGGGCAAGATCAAGTAAGCCCCGAATAACAGGCAACTGAAAAAAGGGGCGTGCAAAAACGCAACTTTAAGATGTGGCTGTAATAGAAAATTACGCATCCCAAACAGCGATCTCATGTGTTGCAATAGCTCTTCTGACAAGCAGCGATCTCACGTGTTGCAATAGATCTTTTCACAAGGGATGATTATTGGTGTAACGAGCCTAAAAATGACCAAGAGCCCATGCCATCTTCGATGCGCTTACAATCCAAAGTGCTTCAAGAAGGGCGTGCATTTAGTTTATAGCATCTCACGTGCGAATGGGGTTGCCGTCGACTCGAAGGAGAGAGAGAGTCTTCATCAAGCCCTGAATGGATTGAGAGGAGAACAAAAGTAAGGCAGGGAGGGTGTGGAACCCAGTACAAAGGATTTGGCACACGCATGATTGGGATTGTTTATGTAACCCAGGTGAGTGTGAGGGTGAGGGAGCCTAGTTTTGAGGCGCCTCAAAACTGGAACCAAGACCCAAGGGTTTGGCACACGCATGATTGGGATTGTTTACATTACCAGGTGAATGAGAGGGTGAGGGAGCTAGGGAGACATCAGCAAACCATGGAAGAATAAAGTGGTCGGCTTTGCTTATACAGTCCTTGAAACCACTCTGAGAGAGAGAATAGACACTGCAGGAACAGCAGCAGCAGAAGCAACAGCAACATAAGAACTAGCGGGTAATTGAGTCGACTCACCACAAGAAATGGAGGAACAGGAGCAGCAAGAGCAGCAGATGCAGTCGCAGTGGCACAGACATTGTCAACAGTGGATGCAGGAGCAGCGGCAGCAGCAGGGAAGGTGAGGTGAGAGAAGCAGACTCACACGATCGAGGGTCACCATGGGGACGTTGTTGCCCGATACATCGAGAGCGTTGTGTTTTTGGAAAATTCTCAAAACAGCCTCACAGCAAAACGGAGTAAACAGCTGCAGCAGAACAGACTCACAAGCTTGGGAGGCAGCATGGGAATGTTGTTGTCCGACACGTCAAGAGTGTTGCGATTTTTGAAAGATAGAAAACAAAACAGACTAAAGACCTGCCTGCAACAAATCAGACTTACAAGTTTGGGAGGCAGCATGGGAATGTTGTTGTCTGAAACGTCGAGCGACTCCAATCGGGTCAACCGGGTCACTTCCTGGAGTGGTTTCAGGTGGTGAATGGGTTTGCACGTTATCGGGTTACACATCATTCCAAAGATACGAAAATCATTTGAAAGTGTGAAAGTGCAGGATCTAGCTAGTGAATTACAAGGAATCAGCACAACGAGACACAGAGGAACTGCACAAGATGTGCTTATAAGGCGAACAGTATGGTGTGCCTGTAGAGAGACACAAAAGTGTGGATCTCTTAGGTGCGACGGTGGTGCTTATAGCAGAGTGGCGAGGCCAGCTTACAACGGGTATGGATTCGATTTGATTCTGTGAGAGATTGAGGACTCGAAGGGAGGGGAGAGAGTCAAAGCCTGCGGGAAAGGCAGTAAGGCGATTGCCCCTGGCGGATAAGGGAAGTGGAAAGGGATGAGAGGAGGTAAGATGCAGTTCAGTGCGGTGCCATGTGGTACAATGACTGGAAAGAGCCAAAGCTTGGAGGGAGGGCAGATAGACGACAGTGTTCCCTTTCACGCTAAACATTGAGGGACATTGTCCCGACATTGCCACGTTTCTACCTGAGGAGATTTTAGAGGGAACCTTTCAGAACTCCCAACTTAGCCATTCCTCTACCTGAGGCGCAGGCTATAGCTTAGGGAGAAACACTGTTTGAAGAGGTGTTTTGAGACGTCTCAAAACACTTCTTCAAACACCCAGCTTTGCCCTTCCTCCACCCGAGGTGCAGGCTACAGCTTAGGGAGAAACACTTTTGAGTAGAGCTTTGAGTCGACTTTTGAGTATTTTGTGTAACTGCGGTGCAGCTCAAAGGTAGAAGACCTTTGAGCTGAGCCTTGAGGACCTTTTAGACCTTTGTCAAAAGGTCAAGTCGAAGGGTGTTTTTTGTGTACCTGCGGTGCAGCTCTGTGAGGCGCGGAAAGGCGGCCAGGGAGAAGAGGAGGGTGCGAGCAGTAGCGGGGAGGAGACGCCCTTAAAGTCGACTTATCACTTCTCAATCGACTCAGTAGGCAGGCCAGAGAGGGCCTTGCATGTTTCCTACCTGAGGTGCAGGTGCAGCTCTGTGAGGCGCGGAAGGGCGGCCAGGGAGAAGGAGGGCACGAGCAGTGGCGCGTGGAGGAGATGACCTTTGAGTCGACTCGAAATCACTCTGGAGTTGACATGACACCACCCATTCCCTACCTGAGGTGCGGCTCTGCGAGACGGGGGAGGGCGGTCAGGGAGAAGCTTGCATGTGCGAGCAGGTGACAGAGTATAGGAGAGCCTTTTGGGAGTATAGGAGAGCCTTTTGGGACGGTTCCCTACCTGAGGTGCAGCTCTGTGAGGCGTGGAAGGGCGGCCAGGGAGAAGGAGGGTGGTAGCAGTGGCGCGGAGGAGGGAGAGCAGCAGCCGGAAAGATTCAGGCACTGCAACGTGGAGATGTCCTGTGGCGCTGTCAGGGGCAGCTGGAAAGGATGGGAGGGCGGGAAGGGAGGGAAGGGAGGGATGGGAGAGGAGAAGGGAGGAGAGAGATGGATGAAGGGACAAGGGCGAGGAGGGCGAGCAGCAGCAGCGAGAGGTTCCGGTATCGTAAAGAGGAATTGTCCTGTGGCGTTGTCAGGGGCAGCTGGAGAGGAGGGGAGGGAGGGAAGGGAGAGGAGGAGAGAGATGGATGAAGGGAACAAAGAGGAGGAAGGCGAGCAGCAGCAGGAGAGATTCAGGTGGTACAGTGAGGCGATGTCCTGTGGTGCTGTCAGGGGCAGCCTGGAGGGGTGGAGAGCGATGAAAAGGGACAGGGGAGGTTGCCCCAGCCTCACCCGCCCCAGCCTCACCTGCCCCAGCCCCACCTGCCCCAGCCTCACCTGCCCCACGGGGTTGTTGGCGAGGGAGAGGGTGCGGAGCGATGGGAGCGAGCGCAGGGCAAGAGAAGGCCAGGCTGCAATCTTATTGGTTGACAGGTCTAGCTCCTGTAAGGGCATGGTGGGGGGATATGGTGGGGGGCATGGCGGGGGGTATGGCAGGGGGCATGGCGGGGGGTATGGCAGGGGGCATGGCGGGGGGTATGGCAGGGGGCATGGCGGGGGGTATGGCAGGGGGCATGGCGGTGGGTATGGCAGGGGGCATGGCGGGGGGTATGGCAGGGGGCATGGCGGTGGGGAACATTGTGACTCCGCAATGACTCGGAAGTTGCACGATGAAGCATGTGATGGTGAGGCATGTGATGGTGAGGCATGTGATGGTGGTGAGGCATGTGATGGTGAGGCATGTGATGGTGGTGAGGCATGTGATGGTGAGGCATGTGATGGTGGTGAGGCATGTGATGGTGAGGCACGTGATGGTGGTGAGGCATGTGATGGTGAGGCATGTGATGGTGAGGCATGTGATGGTGAGGCATGTGATGGTGGTGAGGCATGTGATGGTGAGGCATGTGATGGTGGTGAGGCATGTGATGGTGAGGCATGTGATGGTGGTGAGGCATGTGATGGTGAGGCATGTGATGGTGAGGCATGTGATGGTGAGGCATGTGATGGTGGTGAGGCATGTGATGGTGAGGCATGTGATGTGGAGTGGACATAGGAGAAACAACGATTGCAGGAAGAAAAGTCACATCAAGAAGGAGACAACATGCCATTGCACACAAAAAGCTGACTAAAGCAAGCAACGGACTTGTGACCTAGAGGTCAACCAAGCTGATATCGTATGCGTAGACTCGCCCCTACTCTCACCACAGTGAATCAGGTGCAAGCCGGGAGGAATCGTATGAATTTGAGGTCTCTTTTGATGGATAGGAAAACGATTTGCATACTCACAGTGAGGGAGGTACAAGCTGAGAGGAAGAAGGGCAGCGAGGTGAGGGAGTTGTGAGAGGCGATGATGGACGTCAGAGGGATGTCACCCGCAGCCAATGCCGCGATGCCACGTGGCAGCTCTGATAAGCCCTTCTTTGACAACTGGAGGGCCTGTGGGTTGGGGATGGGGAGGGAAAGGAGGAGAAGGAGGGGATGGGGGGGGATGGGAGGGGAAGGAGGGGCGAGGGATCGTCAGCTGGTTAATTTTGTTCTCATTTCACTCCACAGTTGAAGCTGTGGAATGCATAAAGATCACTCTGAATGAGGAAGAAATGTTCCAGCCAGACGTCTTAGTGAAAGGGTCTTCACTGATTATGACATCCCAAAGAACCGCTTTCCACCCACTCCTATCCCTCATCCTGATGGATGGATTACTCACCCCTCCCTCAAAGCACTCCCTCAGCCATGGCTCTGCCATTGCTGCTTCTGCAGCCGCCACCGCATCCCCCTCCCCCTCCACCCCTCTTTCCACCTCTCCTGCTCTGTCCACCCCTCTTTCCACCTCTCCTGCTCTGTCCACCGTGTCTCCTGATCCACTCATGATCTCCTCGCTCTGCCTTGATTGCAAGGTCTGTGGCACCATGCCTGCTTCAGCAGCAGTCACAGAAGCAGCCGGTGCAGCAGCAGCAGCAGCGGCAGGCGCAGCAGCAGCAGAAGCAGCAGCAGGTGGTGATTCCAGAGTCAGCTCACGCAGTGCAGCAGGTGCAGAAGCGCTGGCAGAATCTGGTGAGGAGCAGGAGACAGGGAGGCGAGGAGGAAAAGCGAAGAGAAAAAGGAGGAGGTTGGCAATAACTCTAGCTGGTTCTTGAGAAATCTAAATAAACTAGTCAGAAAGGAGTTTAGGAAAGAGAAAAGGCAAAAGTGCTGACGAAAACTCTAACCCCAAGGCCAAGGAGAGTCCGTCGATGTGGATTCAGTGGGACGAAGGAATGCAAGCGGAACGAAGGGGGGGAAGGTGACTATTGAGTCGACTCAAAATTCTGCCGACAGAAACTCTAAACCCCAAGGCCAAAGAGAGTCCGTAGATGTGGATTCATTGGGACTAAGGAATGCAAGCGTAACGAAGGGGGGGAAGGCAGCAGCACGCTGCGAGGAAGGTGGTGCCGAAAGGAGGAAAGGCATTGTGGAACATTGCGAGGGCAGGCAGTGGGATGGTAAAGAAGCAGACGAAACACTGTGACTTTTGAGTCGACTCAAAAGTCACCTCGAGGGCAGGCAGTAGGATGGTAAAGAAGCAGACGAAACACTGTGACTTTTGAGTCGACTCAAAAGTCACCTCGAGGGCAGGCGGTAGGATGGTAAAGAAGCAGACGAAACACTGCGAAGGACTTCTGATGCATTGTGGAACATTGTTGTCGAAAGCAGACTTAGGTAGACAAGAGAGAAGGTAACCACGGAGGAGGCTCATGGCTGCGGCTGCGAGGATAAGGTAGCGGCTGGAGCAGGTGGTATCTGAGGCAGGTCGCATGAGGGTGAGGTCATATCTGAGGCAGGTCGCACCTGAATCATGGTCATCAGCAGAAGCAGCAGGGAGGCGAGAGCGCAGATAGTCCAGGAGGTTCTTGGCCGGTCCGTTGATGAGCGTGCTGCAAAGGCGGGGGCGGGAAGGTTGAGGGGATTAGGGGATGAGAGGATGAGGTGATGAGGCAAAGGAAGCAAATGGAGGCGATGTGCGGATAGTCCAGGAGGTTCTTGGCAGGGCCGTTGATGAGTGTGCTGTGGAGGGGGGGAGGTTGAGGGGCATTGTGAGTTTTGAAGGGTATTGAGGTGATGAGGTAAGGTTGAGGGGGGGAGGGAAGGTTGAGGGGCATGGTTTGCACTGAAGCTGTTGATGAGCGTGCTGTGAGGAGGGGGGAAGGCTGGTTGGGGAGCATTGTGGGTTCTGAGGGGTGAGGTGAGGTGAGGCATGGTTTGCTATGGTGTTGATGATGAGCGTACTGTGAAGGGGTGGAAGGTTAGAGGATGTTGAGTTGATGAGATGAGATGAGGGGATGATTGGATGATGGGATGAGAAGAATAATGCCGTACCTTCGGATGGTTCTGATGGGATTGCCTGCTGCTGCGACCCTCTGCAGCGATGTCATGCTACCTGAAGGGAGGGAGTAGAAATGATAATTTCTTTTCAATCTCAAGAGCCAAGGAGCGAATGTGCGTGACATGTTGAGGCGTGTTGAGACATCAACACATGTTCTGAAGGGGTAGCTGGCAAGATTTAGTATTGTGCTGAGCTGTAATAATGTGACTTGCCATGGTGTCAAGGCAGACAAGGAGGTTCGACATACCAAGCCAGGCGGGCAGGGTGGGAAGGTCATTGTCGGAGACATCAATAGCCTGGATGCTCAGGCGGCGCAGTGACGGGGGCAGGTCCTCCAGCTGACATCAGGGGTGGGTGTGTGAGCAGGGAGGGGATGGGGTGGGTTTACTAGTGATGATATCACTCAGTGCACTTGCCAATCCAAGACATCAATAGCCTGAATGCTCAGGCGGCGCAGCGATGGGGGAAGATCCACCAGCTGGCAGCAGGGGAGAGTGGGGGGGAGGAGGGGAAGGGAGGAGGGAAGGAGGGGAGGGAAGAGAAAGCAGTGAGGAAGCGGACAGGGTGGGAGGGTGGGGAGGTCATTGTGGGAGACATCAATAGCCTGAATGCTCAGGCCGCGCAGCAATGGGGGGAGGTCCTTCAGCTGGCAGCAGGGGTGTGTGCGGGGAGGGTACAGGGGGGGAATGGGATGGTGGAGGGAAGGAGGACGAGGAGAAAGCAGTGAGCAAAAGGTCGCGGTCAGGGTGGGGAGGTCATTGTCGGAGACATTCGGAGCCTGAATGCCCAGGCAGTGCAGCAATTGGGGGAGAGGTTAAGGCAACAATTGCTCTATACAAGATGAAAACAGGAGGAAAGGAGTATGGGATCTGGAACAAGGAGTATGGGATCTGGAACAAGTGAGGCACAGCACGTGAGACACAGCACGTGAGACACAGCACGTGAGACACAACACATGAGACACAGCACATGAGATGCAAGCGTGTCCCACCACACGCATGTGAGAGCAGCTACCTTGTTGGAGGGCACAGAGAGCGTCACACGAGAGAAAAGAAAAGCACACATGCGAGAGTGTGTACCTTATTGAAAGGCACAGAGAGAGAATGTCACAAGGGAGAATTTCTGATTCGTCAAGAAGAGGAGAGCACGCATGCAAGAGCACACACTTTATTGGAGGGCACGGAGAGAGTAACAAGTGAAGGCAGGTGGCCGATTTCCACTGGCAGCTGCTTGAGCTTGTTGCGGCTGAAGCATAGAAGGCGAGAGGAAGGGTTAGAGGAAGGGGGTCGGGACATCAAGAGGTGAGAGGAATGAGAAGGCGAGGCAGAAGGGGGGAACGGAGGACGGGAAAGTAGGAGGGGAAAGGGGGAGGGGATTGGGGGAGGAACAGGGGGAAAGGGAAGGTAAACATTCAACGCTTTAACACGAGTTGATCACGAGATGAATACATGGGATGCATTCAGGGACCATGTGTGTGTGTGTGTGTGTTCTTCTTCTTCTTCTTCTTCTTCTTCTCAAAAGTTGCTCACACCTTTACTTGGCATGCATTCAGAGACCAGGCAATGGACGCAGGAAAGGAGTATTCTGATTAAAAGCATTTGTAAGGAAACCTTCTCAACGTAGCTGAGCTGCCAATAGGCGTACGACATGTGTACCGCAGCACCACACTAAACACACCTCAGGTGAAACTGAGAACGTACCCCAGGTGAAACTTAGAAACGTACCCCAGGTGCTACTCAGAACATACCCCAGGTGAAACTCAGAACGTACCCCAGGTGCAACTCCAGCAGGGAGATGCAGCCGCTGATGGTCGATGGAACAGAAACAAGGCCTGGTGGCGGTGTCATGCGCATGAGAGAGGTGTGGGGAGGGATGAAGAACGGGGGAAAGGTGTGAGGGGGATGGGACGTGGGAGCGAGGAGGTGGTGGGGGTGAGAAAGGGGAAGGGGAAAGATTCATGCCGCCGAGAAGCAAAGGGGAAAGAGAGAGGCGCTTGAGGGAAGAGGAACGGTATACATACCTATCCAAGTATATACTTCTACATATTCATACATTTACATGTGCGAAACCAGAGTCAAGGTTAAGAATGAAAAAGAAGGGAAAAAGGAAACTAAGCTCCAAAGTGCGGAGAACATGAGCATACATGGCTACGATAACACATGCCCTAACGATCATGCATGCGTGAATCCATGCTAGATCCAAAACGGCTCCCAATAAAAGGGTTGCGAGACACACAGTTCTGAAAGGCGTTGAGGTGTAGGAGTGACGAGAGGGCTCCTATGTCGTCCGGGAGAGACTGCAGCTTGTTGCGCCCTGGACGGAGGGGGAAGGAAGTGGTGGGAGGAGGGAGGATAACGAGACGAGATGAGACGAGACGAGATGAGCTGAGCTGAGATGAGTGGAGACGAGGAGGGAAGAAAGGCCTCCTATGTTGTCCGGAAGAGCCTGCAGCCTGTTGTGCCCTGGACGAGGGGGGGGGAAGGAAGTGGGGGGAGGGAAGATGCCGAGGCGAGACGAGATGAGCTGGGATGAGTGGAGACGAGGAAGGACGAAAGGCCTCCTATGTCGTCCGAAAGAGACGGTGGGAACGGGGGGAGGAGTGACGAGACGGGACGAGACAAGATGAGTGGAGTGGAGACAACAATGGATTTTTGCGAAATGTCAAACAGCCCTGGTTGAGGGGGAGGGAGGGACAAGATGGCCTGGCTGCGACCTCCTATGTCGTCAGCAAGAGACTGCAGATTGTTGCGCCATGGGCAGCGCCGCGGGAAGACAAGTGGATGAAGAGACGACGTGAAACGAGACGAGACAGGATGAGACGGGAGGAGCAGAGACGAGGAGGTATGGTGAGGAAGAAATCCTCGTGATTTCAGAGGAATGTTGGGAAACACGTCCTCGAAAACCTCATGCTTGGACGCCATACCAGCCAAGATGGAGCACCCAAAGTTGATTATAGATGCATGCCGTACCAAGGTGGAGATGCCATACCAAGGTGGAGATGCCATACCAAGGTGGAGATGCCATACCAAGGTGGAGATGCCATACCAAGGTGGAGATGCCATACCAAGGTGGAGATGCCATACCAAGGTGGAGATGCCATACCAAGGTGGAGATGCCATACCAAGGTCGAGATGCCATACCAAGGTCGAGATGCCATACCAAGGTCGAGATGCCATACCAAGGTCGAGATGCCATACCAAGGTGGAGATGCCATACCAAGGTCGAGATGCCATACCAAGGTGGAGATGCCATACCAAGGTGGAGATGCCATACCAAGGTGGAGATGCCATACCAAGGTGGAGATGCCATACCAAGGTGGAGATGCCATACCAAGGTGGAGATGCCATACCAAGGTCGAGATGCCATACCAAGGTCGAGATGCCATACCAAGGTCGAGATGCCATACCAAGGTCGAGATGCCATACCAAGGTCGAGATGCCATACCAAGGTCGAGATGCCATACCAAGGTCGAGATGCCATACCAAGGTCGAGATGCCATACCAAGGTGGAGATGCCATACCAAGGTCGAGATGCCATACCAAGGTCGAGATGCCATACCAAGGTCGAGATGTCATACCAAGGTCGAGATGCCATACCAAGGTCGAGATGCCATACCAAGGTCGAGATGCCATACCAAGGTCGAGATGCCATACCAAGGTCGAGATGCCATACCAAGGTGGAGAGATGGCATACCAAGGTCAAGATGCCATACCAAGGTCGAGATGCCATACCAAGGTCGAGATGCCATACCAAGGTGGAGATGCCATACCAAGGTGGAGATGCCATACCAAGGTCGAGATGCCATACCAAGGTCGAGATGCCATACCAAGGTCGAGATGCCATACCAAGGTCGAGATGCCATACCAAGGTCGAGATGCCATACCAAGGTCGAGATGCCATACCAAGGTCGAGATGCCATACCAAGGTCGAGATGCCATACCAAGGTGGAGATGCCATACCAAGGTCGAGATGCCATACCAAGGTCGAGATGCCATACCAAGGTCGAGATGCCATACCAAGGTCGAGATGCCATACCAAGGTCGAGATGCCATACCAAGGTCGAGATGGCATACCAAGGTCGAGATGCCTGAGGTTGCGGAGTGAGGAGAGCAGAGGCGAGGGGATGCTCTGCAGCTGGTTGTTCTGTCATTGGCGTATGGGAGGGAGAGGGGACGAGAAAAGAAGGGTGAGAGAAGGAGGGGAAGAGGAAAAGAAATAGAAAACGATGCTTGGTTTTAAGGGAGATCAGGAAGTAACGTAGGAAATAACGTATGCGGGGAGTGATGGGAGAGGGAAAAGGGGAGAGGGAGGGAGGGGGGGATGAGGGAGGGACTCTTTCAAGACAGGATGCGTCTTAGAAGAAGATTGGGCCAAATCTATCAAGTCCGGAAACACAGAAGTGCGTCACAGCACATTCAAACATAGGTGCTTGTTCAAACACAGGTGCGCGCATGCAATGCAAGTACACCCCAGTAACACATGGATGGACCATGGTACAAGTATGTTCTTATGAAATGCCGAAGTTTACCTGCGGGACGAGACGAGAGAAATCTAGGCAATGGCTTAGGAAGCAACCGAGATGAGTCAAGCAGGAGCACAACACAACGCACCTCGAGATTGAGATGAGAGAGAGCAGTGCATGAACCCAAGGAGGCTGGCAGGGAAGCAATGCGGTTGGAGCATGCCTGCACAAGATAGGAGGAACAGGAGGAAAGGAAGCACTTGCTGGGCTTGTCAAAATGCTCGCTCCAAGCAGAAACCTCCCACGAAACAAAGTTTGAATCAAGGGGGAAAGTACAGGAGGCAAAGGAGGCAGTGGAAACGAGGGGATGGGGACGAGGTAGGAGCGAGGGTGGTGGACCTCGAGGTGGGCGAGGAGTGTGCAGGCGGCAAGAGCAGCAGGCAGCCCTTCCAGCACGTTATGGGAGACGTCCAGCCTGCGCCGTGGTTGGTGGGGGGGGGGGGGTAGTGGAGTGAATGGCGGGGATGGTAGTATTTGAGACGTTTCAAAAAAGAAAGGAGTGTACAGGCGGCAAGAGCAGCAGGCAGCCCTTCCATCACGTTATGGGACACGTCCAGCCCGCACAGTGGTTGGCCGGCACAACGACATTTTTACAAATAACAGAACCCTTGGTGCAAAACCGAATGAAGAAATGGGAGGTAAGGTTTTACCGTTCAGTAAGGCCTCCTGCTAGCTACTGCTCCTGGCTCGGCCAGGTTCGCGGTTGCACTCACTTGACCAGGTTCGGTACACTCACTTCACCAGGTTCGCTGCACTTACTCGACCAGGTTTGGTGCGCTCACTTGACCAGGTTCGGTGCTGCACTCACTTGACCAGGTTCGGTGCTGCACTCACTTGACCAGGTTCGCTGCACTCACTTGACCAGGTTCGCTGCACCGCCGATCTCCTCTGGCAGGCACTCCAGCTTGTTGTGGCTCGCCAGCAGACTCTTGAGCTCCACTAGCCTGGGTGGTGCAGCGATTGCAGAGGGGGACAATGGAGTGAAGTGGAGTGAAATGGAAATTGAGGCTGCGTGGGGTGGTGGGAGGGCGGTAGTTGAATCCATTTGAAGGCCACCTTGTTGTCGCTTGTCAGCAGACTCCTGAGCATCACTAGCCTAGGTGGAGTCGGGGCACGGGGGAACAGAGGGACCCATACGCGACGAACGAAGTGGGGAAACGAAGGGACCAAGACGATCGATCCCGGAATGGAGCAAGTGTGTCTTGATGTGCGACATGTTGCCATGTCACGCCATACAGCGTACACCCCACCGACAAAAGCTCCACACTCCAATCTCCACATTCCACACCCCACACGCCACTACACAGACCTCACCACAAGCCCACACATCTCATCCGTGTACCCCACACACCCCTACACATGCCACAGTCACTTGCCGACAGCAGCAGGCAGGCGGGGCAGGGTGTTGTATCTGACGTCAAGCCATGTGAAGCAGGGCAGGCGAGCAATCTGCTTCACCCTCGTACTCAAATTCCCCACTCACCACATGCCACACTCACTTGCCGACAGCAGCAGGCAGGCGGGGCAGGGCATTGTAGCTGACGTCAAGCCACGTGAGGCAGGGCAGGCGGCCGATCTCCTCTGAGATGTGGGTCAGGCTGTTGCGCGCCAGCAGCACCTTCTGTAACTCCACGGCCTGGGGGGATGGAGGGGATAGGGGGAGCGGGTGGTATGGATGAGGGTGGTGCAGCACCGGGAATAAACAGGCCGATCCCTAAGATGTGATCGAGGCCGTTGAGCGCCAGCAGCACCTTCTGTAGCTCCACGGCCTGGGGGGAGATAATGGGGGATGGGGGAGATGGGTTGAGATAACCGGGGATGGGGGGAATGGGGTGACCACTATCGGTGCACTGATTTCTACCAACATATAATATAAGCCATTATTCTTCGGAATATGGAACGTCATCCAGCATCGAGTAGTAGCATCCGCATGGAAGCATCTACCACACCAACTCAAGGCATGCACACCAGTTCCTGCCTTCCAACGCACCTTCCACCACTTGTCAAACTTGAGGGACGTCGTCCAGCGATGAGAAGGCGTCGGAGGAGATTACCCGTGACATCGCACATCTCTCACCAGAGACACGTAACCACATACAGTCAAGGCATGCAGGGTGAAGGCATACACACCAACGCACCTCCCACGATTTCTCGGATCGGATTGACGAACGCCATCCAGCAGCGAGTAGAAACTTGGGAGATATCACTCGGGACAACGCACATCTCTCACCACGCACGCATCCCACCACGTACAGTAAATGTATGCACATCGACGCACCTCCCACCACTTCTCGGACTGAGGAACGTCGTCCAGCAGAGAGTAGACCTCGGGAGGCACTTCCCTGTGAGACACGACGCGGAGGGACGGAAGAGAAGTCATGGAAACCATCTGAATTGAAGCAGGTGACGCATGCGGTTTTTTTGTCTACTCCTGCTAATTTACGAGGTGGTCTTTTGGCTGACACCAGGTGATTCCTAGGTGACACGAGTGATGATCGGAGAAGCTTTGTCACGGTGACAACGTTGAGACGACTTAATAGACGCCATGTCAGTGCGACACGCGTTGAGACATCTCAAGAGAGCAATGTCAGGGTGTCAGGGAGACCGGATCACTGGTCTCGTCGCTGGTCACAAGGTTACTTGGAAACGCAGATTCAGGGAGGAATGGAGAGGCGATGTACGGAGTGGAGATAACCTGCAGTCGTCGACTAGCAAGTCTCGCCGGCATGGTTCCGAAAGAAACTATGTAAGGGGAGAATACCAATGCACCGAATGCTCGTGTTCTGTTTATTAATTTTCTTGCACCAGCTCGGAACAAAGACAACAGTCACTAGAAAACAAGGTCCGCTTCGAAAATGAAAGATCAGGCATTAGTGGAAAACGTAGCATTTTGCTGACACGTCGTACACGGTATACTCTATGCTGTATAAGCCACAAACGGGGTGTCAGTTACTCGGCTAAACCAGAGCAACAAATAAAGAATGGAAAGCTTTCTAATTCCTTAGATTCGTGGCTTCGTACTTGAGATCTTTCCCCGAGAGGTTGAGAGTCCCGGATGACCGGGCTGCCTTGAATACAGCGTCGAGTGCGGGCGTAACCACCACGATCCCGCGCTGCATATCGGCACGCGCACCGCCCCTCCTCATTTCGCGAACGGTTGCGAACAATCTCAAAGCTCGTGAATGCGCGTACAAGCGTGTGCAGAAAAGCTACAAGATCGTGTAAGGTTTCGTGACCGAGGCTGGGAAGAACTTACGACTAGCTAGTCCCAGTGTGTTTCGAAGGAGCACATAAACAGCCTCGTAGACTAGTACATTGCCCTAAGATAACAAAAGTAAGTATCTCTGGGCGAACAACCCGTCGTATCACTCACGTAATCGCTCGCTCACTTCAATCGTTGCATGGATACAAACAAGTGGAGACTTCTGATCTGGTCCTGCATTTGCCAAACGCTGGAAGCAATGAACACTTTGGCGTTGTTCTGCAGGCGTTTAGGTTTCCGCACCAATTTGACCGCGGTAGCCTTCCGTTCATTTTCTAGGCGCATTCATGCTGGTTGCGTTGCGCGGATGTTGCTGCCTCGCATAACGGCGGTGTTCGCCAGCACATGCAAACTTGGAAAAAAAATGACGGCATCGGAATGGCCACGGCATCGGGAAGCGGGGCCAGAACCCTCCGAAGAGGTTTGGGCGAAATGCCACTCGCGAAATTTCGGGCCCCGAAATGGGAAACGTGACAACCACATATGGAACCTGCCTCCCCACCTTCTTACTCTAGCCTCTGACAGCCAATGACATCGCCATCCCATGGCAATCCACCGTGAAATGGTGGATTGCCATGGGATGGCATGGGACTTTTCGTTTCCCGGGGAGGAAATCACTTCCCCATTTCCGAATGCCATGATGCTGTCCGAAATTTGAGAAAAGTGAGGGCGTTCGCCAGGCACCAAAGTTCCATTTGGCTCGGACGGCATAAGAGGCTCGGCAGTATTTTTACGGGCTGACCAGCCTGACGGAGCTTAACGAACCCTAACTAACGGGATCAGGAAGGCGAGACCGACCTTCCTGATCCCGTCCTTTTTCGTCGTTTTTGCTTTCAAAGGTGCTGGCGAACACCGCCAACATGTGCGGAGGCTGATGCTAGCTCCCGAGGTAGAATTAGCACCACGCTAGTTGTGCGACCATTTGCCCGGCGAAGCAACTACTTCGAGCCTGCAGACGACTAAATTCGTGCGCCCCAAAAGTGGCGTCCTGCAGGCTCAAGCGTTAAATTTGGCGCAAACAAGTTCGGCACGACCTTTCTTATCACCAAACCTTGATAGGCAGAAGACCACTTATCAACGAAGATTCTGCGGACCCAGTTTTGGAAAATTTAACGCCTACATAACAGCGCCTTTCTGATTGCAACAGCTCTTTGATGATGGTTTCCAGGTCTGGGTTCTTGGGATTTGTGTCAGAATAGGCGAGGCCAGGCGCGAAATCCCTGTTTTGAAAAACTCGTTATAGAATGCTACGTCCAACGATTCTACAAGTTGAAGTAGACCGATAAAGTCTATACATTGACCATCCAATCTGTGAGTTGAACCCTCTGGTACAATTGGGAAATCGAGAATTTTCGTTAGGGCATTTATCTTAGCGGTAACACTCATGGAGCTCGAACGCACGCAAGGTAAGCCACGTTTCCAAATCGTAACAGAGATGTCTTCTCATCGCCATCATGGTAACCAGCATTGCCGAGATGGTCAGCATTATTGCCTGAATGGTAATGAACAGTGCATCCGGAAATCCTGGCTGGTAACTTCGCGTTCCAACCAAACTGTACACCGTCCAAGTCAGGTTTGACTCAGCAAAACGAAACTGACTGTCCACGTATACACCCACAGAATACACCCATGAGTGTTACCGCTAAGATAAATGCCCTTTTCGTTATGTCCAGTCCAGTACCCCTTTCGCTATGATGGCCTCTCACGGGAGTGCCCCTTCTTTCTTGATTTGTGATTCGACATTGGCTTGTCGGTGGTTTGGCGACCACCCGAACTGGAATCTCTCGCCAGCGTGTACCGACCTCCGTGGCACTCAATGACACGCATGTATTCACTGTGCTGACTGTGCCGCGAATGAAAACCTGCCACCTTGAAGTTACTGAGGGCGTGTCTCGTTTTTTATTTTCTGCCTTCCCGGACGGTTCTCTTTTTTGGTACTGGACGGTCCAAATAGCGAGGAGCCGACTGTCCGAATTGCCATTTCGGAACTTTCCCCCGTCCAGATGCAATTCTGTCACTTTTTCATGGACCATGAACTCACGAATTACTGTAGCTTCGTAATGGGCACTGTATCGTCGTTACACAGGTCGCGACATTTTCTCCGCAAAATTGTGCGCCAATCTGATTCCGTGTAGGAAAAAAAAAACTCGCGAGCCAATATTTAGTCAGTACTGTTGCACCGTCCGTTTGCTTTTCGAGCTGCGGAAGGTTCAAATTCTGAACCGTTGGGAGGAGGGAAAAGTGACGCGACAGTTCGTACCGTTGGCGACGTTGCAAGTACTATCACGAAGTTGATTACGAATTTTGCGAAGCCGGTAATTTCTTCGCAACTCGGACTGTCCACGGTTCGAACCGTCGAGGGAAAAAAAGAGACACGCCCTAAACTGCGAGATCACTGGGTCACACAAGCACTGGCGGATCCAAGCCAGTGAGGGCTTTCTCCTTATAAGCACCATACTTAACCGACGTGCATACCTTTCCCAGCTTCATCTCTAAAAGTCGGGCTGTAGAATGCCATATTGGAACAGCCTTTTTTCGCCCGATGTGACCAGCCCTCACCTGTGATTGTCCGAATTTGGCAAGCGCGTGCTCATATATCATCTGTCGTTCTTGCCATTTCCATTCAGTCATTCCTTTACACACTTGGAGTTAGCTTCCTTTCAACCCGGTCGCCAAGATGTCTTATTGTGAGTGATAATGTTTCCGCCATTCCCAGCAGTGAGCTAGTTGTTTCCTTGATATGGCAGTACTGACTTAGGTCCGTGTGATCTGTGCCCCTGTCAGATGGCGGAAGCGACCCCAGCCCGTATGACTATCCTCTCCCAGGTGCGACTTGATCTTATCCTCACAATTCCGACTCTACGCGTTTCAGCATCATTCTTTTCCTCTGTATTCCGATTTTGCTTACGATCCCGTTAGTCTATTGGAAACACACTACAGGTGGACCCTCGCCACGTGGGGATGTGGTCGTGACTGGTCTTACTGGCGGATACGGCAGTGAGAAGAAGGGCAAGGGCCACCATTTCAAGGGCCACTTCAAGGGACGCCATGGTCACCACAAGCACCATGGTCACCACGGAGGTCACAAGCACAAGGGGTTGGGCCACAGGATCGGCAAGCGCAAGGGCCTCTTCGGCCGTAGGCACAAGTAGAAGGCGTTCACATGCTCGTACATGGTAAAATGCTGCCACTATGTTGCTCCTGTTGAGAATCAGTGCAACACCCATCTAACTATGCATGCTCGTTTTTTTCTCACGAAGGAATTTTTCTTTCATCGAAGGTAGTGCAAGCAACCTGCTTATGCTTCAGGAATTCCTGATGTTGAATGGTCTATTTTGCTGCTTCCAACTTCTGCAGAAAATACATTCTGCTGACAGCATTTGGAGGACCCTTAGAGTGAAGCCTCTGATACTCAGAATCAGGAGGATGGTTTAGGAAGCTGAAAATTCAGAACGGTAGTGGGAAGAGTTGTTGAGGAGTCTGTTGGCCTTTGACGAAATTAGCATT